ATAGCTGCTCTGATTGAAGTCCTGACTCACTGTTGGAGAGACTGACACACTGAACCAAGGCAAAACTGAAACTCGGTCAAGCCTGACCCTGAAAACAGCCTAAAGAGGGTGCCCTCTAACCTTTCAGATGGACAGAGAGAGGATTGCAGAGCTCAGCGAGGCGCTGCAGCAGGCAGAAGCGAGGCTGCAGGAGGAGAGGATGGAGAGGGAGAAGGCAGAGGTGGAGCTGGCAAGAGACAGGGACTGTAACCGGGTACATGTAGTCACCCCCTGGTCACAAGCCAGAACACAGCACCCACTCACACCTTCACAGCCTTCTGTGAGAATGTGAATTTCAGTTCAATAAATACAATAAATGTACAGATAATTCAGAGAAACGTACCTTTAAGTGAAAGATACTGACAGTTGGGGGATATGCACTTAACATTCTTGTGACTAGGCCCACCATCTGGGCAGATAAGCACACTGTATAGTGAAATAAACCCACCACCTGGGCAAACTATTAACATGATAATTACTCTTAACCGTTAATGTCCAGTATATGCAGCCCCTGTACATTGGTAAATACACACACTGTTTACTGAAACAGCACAAAGGTGCACCTCTGTGCACACTGACATGTGTAAGAATACACCATCCCTGTGTGCATTCAGTGTGAGCCTGTGTGTGGCGCCCCCCTCAGGTGCAGCGGGGAGAGGCAAGCCGGGAGCTGCAGGAGCTGAAATCCAGCCTGAGACTGGGCCAGAGGGAGAAAGAGCATCTGCTGCACCAGCAACAGGCCAGTGGACAGCCTCTGCACACCCATTCAGGAGATGTACACTACCTTTATGCACAAGCAGCAGATATGTAGTCTATATGCAGTGTGTATGTATAGTGTCGGGACTTGGTCTTAATATGCTGATGATACGCAGTTTTCTTTAACTGTATAGGCAGCTGATGTAACAGGGTCCCTATATAGTTGCAGTACAGCTCAGAATCTCCATATTGTCTGCATGCTAAAGTATAAGTTTCTGTGTTACATCTATACTTTGACCTCATATATACATTATACATACATAACTTATAGAACATAGATCTCGTTGATTGAGTGCACACAGTGAGGTACTGACACAATGACCATATTCTAAAATGTTCAGTTACATTAAACATTGAGATTTGTGCAGATTTTTAGTGTACAGTACTTCAACAAATTTGTGCAGTATTTTCTTTTATGCAAAAATTAGCACAGTGTGTGTTACACTGTGAGATATTGATATTTCTGTGTGCGCATGCTACAGGGAGATATTGATATAGTATGTGTGCACACTAAACTGAGATACTGACACACTGACTGTGTGCTGCACTGTGAGATACCGACACACTGTGTGCTGTGCTGTGAGATGCTGACACTGTGTAGGTGCTGTGTTGTGATACTGACACACTTTGTGCTGTGCTCTGAGATACTGACACGCTGTGTGTGCCTGCTGTGCTGTGCTGTGAGATGCTGACACTGTGTAGGTGCTGTGTTGTGATACTGACACACTTTGTGCTGTGCTCTGAGATACTGACACGCTGTGTGTGCCTGCTGTGCTGTGCTCTGAGATACTGACACGCTGTGTGTGCCTGCTGTGCTGTGCTGTGAGATGCTGACACTGTGTAGGTGCAGTGCGAGGTACTGACACCTGGTGTGTGTGCAGGAGCTGCTGCAGTACGTGCGCCAGCTGGAGCAGAGGCTGGAGGCTGTTGCCGATGCTAAGTGGAGGGATGCTGCCTCTGACTCCAACAGTAAGTGACATCATCCCTTCTGTGTGTGAGAGAATGGCATGACATCACCTGGTGATGCCATACATAGCTCAGAATGTCAACTGTGATGTTATATTATAATATTTACTTTAATTTAAGTGTGCCATGGTGAAACACTGTTTATTCCACTGTACCTTTTCAGATCATAGTACACTATGTTACGCTTAATTGTGGTGTACTATTCTCTACCGTATTGATTTGTATTTTCCCCTGCTTGCATTATGCTGTATAGTAGTTTCATTCTGTGATGTAGTTTTTGGACCTTGCGACAGTCCACTGCACTACAGTGTCTGTGTGTGTGCAGGTCGTCCTGACAGCCCTGTATCGGAGTCAGAGGAGGACAGTCCTGAAGCCCTGCAGCCCCCTCATCCCCTGGGCGCCTACAGCCTCTGTGACCCCCCAACTTTCACAACAGAGGCCCTGCTCCTCGCTACCCCTCCCCCATCTCCACAGGGAGGCGTGGTCATCAGCCAGCCCGCCCCCCTGTCCTCCCCACGGCAACAAGACAGCGAGTCAGTGGCCCACAGCTCGGAGTCGGTAAGACGCTGACACATCTCGCCTGCGCAGCGGGGCCGTTTGTGAGAGAGTCTGTCGGCCCGGGGGCCTGTCTTCCTCACTCTGTGTCCGTCTCCAGGAGCCAGAGGACGAGAAGGAGTCGGCGCTGTATGGAGCCCAGAGCTCGGGGGACGAGACTGCCCTGCTGCTGCCAGAGCACAGCTGCCCCGCTGAGGGGTAAATACACTACTCTGGCTGCTACACCAGAAGCCCCCCCACTGGGGTGTAGATAGACTATCCCACCCTGCACCTTGGGTTCATATTCTGCCCTGCCCCACTGAGGGGTAAATACCCTGTCCTGCCCCACTGAGGGGTAAAGGGGCTGCCTTGCCCACTGTTCTCCTCCACAGAGCAGGCTAAATAAAACAGATGAAATTTACCAGAATTGTCAATACTCTGATATTGCAGATATAATAATTATTCCAGGTGACAGGGAAAAGAGTTGTTGGTGGAAAAGCCATGTCTTCTGTGGGCAAACAGGGAATAGAGGTGTCTCTGGGGAACAGTGCACAGACAGGGAATAGAGGTGTGTGTCTGTGGGGAACAGTGCACAGACAGGGAATAGAGGTGTGTGTGTGGGAATGGTGCACAGACAGGCAATAGAGGTGTGTGTGTGTGGGGAACAGTGCACAGACAGGCAATAGAGGTGTGTGTGTGTGGGGAACAGTGCACAGACAGGGAATAGAGGTGTGTGTGTGGGAA